TGTGCAGAGGCACATAATACAGCAGACTGCCCTAAAAAAGATAGAAACACCCCAGCAAAATGTGCCTTGTGTCTAGGCAGCCATCCAGCTAATTATAAAGGTTGCGAGGTTTATAAAGAAATCCTATCGCGGAAGTATAATGTTAGAAAACCTGAATCTATTGCGGAATTACGAGGCGAAACAATTTCGAAACTAAAGAGCAAAGATATCAGACCAATAAGTGTAGATGAAAATGAGTCGAATAGAAAATTTTCTGTCAATACAAGAACATACAGTGAGGTTCTTAAAAACGAACAACAATATAATATTAATTCAACCAAAGTAGTGGAGGAACTACTTATCAAGCAATCTGAAAAGATAGATTTACTCCTTCAACAAATAAGTAACCTAATGGGACTTATGACCAAGCTAATTGACAAATTACTAAAATGAATTACCTAAAAATATGTATATGGAACATAAATGGCCTATCGCCTAATATAGATGATGTAAAAATACTACTTGATATTCATAAAATCGATGCGATGCTCATTTCGGAGACACACTTTACTGACAAAAGTTACATAAAAATACCTCAATATAACATATATTCCACCAACCATCCAGATGGCACTGCCCACGGTGGTACTGCAATTTTAATAAAAAACTCCATTAAACACTATCAATTACCTAGTTTCAGAAAAGAACACATACAAGCAACAACGGTTTCCATACAGGATAAAGGTGGCGAATTTAACCTATCATCAATATATTGCCCACCAAAACATAACATTAAAGCTAACCATTTCAAGGAATTCTTCTTGACTCTAGGAAAAAAATTTATTGCTGGTGGTGACTGGAATGCCAAACATTCTCACTGGGGATCTAGACTCATAACCACAAGAGGAAGAGAACTAATGTCATTTATATCTACAAACAAGCTCAAAACTCTGTCTACTGCAGAACCAACGCACTGGCCGACCGACTCAGCTAGGCTGCCGGACCTAATAGACTTTTTTATAGTTGGTGGACTTCCGAAAATATCTTTCAAGATCGATTCATGCCTAGACGGATCATCCGATCACACTCCAGTCTTATTAACAGCTAGCTCTATTGTACTTCAAACTGATAAATATTCACCACTATATAACTCTTTTACAGACTGGTACTCTTTTCGCGAAAAAGTAGAGAAGGATATAGAACTAAAAATACCACTTAAAACATCTGAAGATATTGAAGAGGCTGCTAAAAATTTTACTAATATTATACAATCAGCATGCTGGCGAAGCACTCCGGAGAATCGATCGACTAATGGCAAGTTTAGCATCAATGTCGAAATAAAAGAAAAAATTCGAGAGAAAAGAAGACTACGACGCGTGTGGCATCTGAGTCGGTGTAGCGATGACAAAAAGGCACTCAATAAAGCTATATTAGACTTAAAAGCAGCTCTCAAAGCTGCGAACGATTCTGCCATGCAAACATATCTCGAATCTCTCGCTCCAAGTAAAGCTACAAATTATTCTCTGTGGAAAGCTCTTAAAAGAATGAACAAGCCACAAAATAGAAAGCCTCCAATAAGAAGTGGCCAAAACACTTGGGCTAGAACAAGTCATGAAAAGGCTAAAGTTTTCGCAGACCATCTTGCAAAAGTGTTTGTACCGAATATGCCAGAATTGGGGATGGATGAATCAGACATTGAAGCTGTGATAAATCAAGATTACCAGCTAGACCTACCCATTAAACCCATAACACCTAAAGAAATCTGGAACGAGATACAAAAACTAAAGAACAAAAAGGCCCCAGGGTTTGATCTAATAACTAAAGAAGTTCTAATACAGCTTCCGAAAAAAGCTATAATGTACATGACTGCACTCTTTAATTCTATTCTTAGAGTCAAATACTATCCAAAACTCTGGAAAGTATCGCAGGTGGTGATGATTCACAAAGAAGGTAAACCTGAAAATGATGTTTCTTCCTACAGGCCGATTAGTCTGCTAACGGTACTTTCAAAAGTTTTTGAAAAACTACTTCTCCGGAGATTGATGCCCATATTACACGAAAAACATGTAATACCAGACCATCAGTTCGGCTTCAGACAAGAACATGGAACCATCGAACAAGTGCATAGAGTGTGCAACATAATAAGAAAGTCACTAGAAGATAAAGAATACTGCTCATGCGCATTTCTAGATATACAGCAGGCATTCGATAGGGTTTGGCACAGGGGCCTACTATGCAAAATAAAACAATTCTTACCACATACTTTTTATGAAATCTTAAAATCATATCTTTCCGATAGAATATTTCAAGTTAGAGAAGATGACAGTACTTCCTCATTCCACGACATCCTAGCAGGTGTTCCGCAAGGCTCGGTCCTGGGACCAGTATTATATACTTTATACACCGCAGATTTCCCTGTTAGCACTAATTTAACAACTGCAACATATGCGGATGACACGGCTGTGTTGGCCAGTCACAAGGACCCAAAGACTGCTACTGCAATGCTCCAGAGTGGATTAAATGAAGTGGACAAATGGTTAAAAAAATGGAGAATAAGAGCCAGTGCCTCGAAATCGGTCCAAGTTACCTTCACATTGCGCCATGGAAACTGTCCAGCAGTCAAACTAGGAAATCAAGAACTTCCACACAGTGACGGCGTCAAGTATCTAGGTATTAGACTGGACAAAAAACTCACATGGAGAGCACACATTCTAGCGAAAAGAGATCAACTTAATATACAGTACCGAAACCTCCAGTGGCTCCTAGGAAGACGGTCTGTTCTGAGCCTGAACAATAAGCTCCTACTCTACAATACTGTTCTCAAACCAATATGGACATATGGTATACAAGTTTGGGGTACCGCAAGTGCTTCAAATTTAAACATTATTCAAAGGGTGCAAAATCGTATACTTAAGAACATTTCGAATGCCCCTTGGTTCATTAAAAACTCAGACATGACGTACTAAAAGTGAACACCGTACAGCAGGAACTCAAGGTGATCGTTGAGCG